ACAGCAGAGCTTATGCAGTGCACGATTAAAAGAGACAGAGCCAAGTTCAACCCAACATGGTGGGTATTTTAGTTTAGTTTAGTAAGGTTTTTAAGGTGGTCGCAGCTGCATAAGGTCATATGAGCGCCAGGGGATGGATGTCAACAGAAAAGTCCAAACGGGGAATCAGGCTTTTTCTGCTAACCTCTCTAACCTCAACAGCACAAAGTCTGCTTCGACTATCAAGGCAGCCCTCGAAATAGCAGTTCACAAGAGAGTGACAAACACAATAAAGAAGTAGGGGGAACATGACAATAGTAAGGGTGAGGAAAGAAAAAGCAGCAGTTCCCCCTATATTGTTTCGGCACAGTATGAGCATTGAGCATGACATTGATAAGTCAGCCCATTTACAATTCTACTGGGCATACGAGCTTGTTAATACCCCCCTTTGGGAATGGCCTTAAGACACTTTAGTCAGTGGCATTGCCCGGGGGGGGGGGGGGTGAATATTTGAGCTTACATATCCCTCCTGTTACCAGGGTCTAGAACTACTTATTATACAGAAATCCGATACACTCTCCTTTGTTTAGGAAGTTTGCTACGGTTACATTTCAAAGGTAAGACTAACCATAACATGAGCTCTACCCGGTTGATGGTCGTCAGGGTAACGATGTGCAGATTTCCCTCCTGTTACTTTCCCTGCTGTTACCCGAGTTTTGGAAGCAGGAGAGAATAAAAAAGTAACAGGAGAGAAGGAAATGTACCAACAGGAGAGAAGGAAATGTACCAAATACCTTAACTGACAACAGTTTAGGTTAGAATGTGAGATAGTCCACGCTTAATAGAGTAAATGAAAAAGGTAAAGACTAAAGGCATGTTTCCAATAGAACGCCTGAATTGTAAGTTTTATCTTTGGATAACGAGACGGAATAGAGAGGAACAGGAGAGAACAGAAAATAATTGGAAGGAGCGGCACTTGTCAATTAATAGCTAAACTGACCAAAATTCGGGTTGAAAGAGGGTCATTTATGCTTAATTAGCAAACAAAACAGAACAGCTATTTTATGAAAGATGTGTATGTGCTTTTTCAACAAAACTCATGGATTGTGATTCTATCATTAGGTAACAGGATGAGTATGAGACTGAGAGCGGTAGCGAGAGAACAATAGAATAAAAATGAAAGTCAAAACCATTATAATGCAACATACTTTTGTTATTCCAGAGTGTAGAACCTTCTATGTAGATTATATGTTATCAAAGAGTTCTAAGTAGTCGTGAGGTTGCAGGTTTAGAGGTCCAAGCCTCAGCTTGGTCCAACGTCGTGTCCTTGAGAAAGACACTTTACCCGAATTTCAAATCTACGTCCTTTCGAAGATGGACGTTAATCTCGGAGGTGCCTCCTCTGAAACAACTTTACCTGGGCTTTAAACCTATACCATTTCACCATTTTCACCAAAGAGTTCTAAAAATGCAGGTGAAGATTAATATATTTTATTTAGTTGCAGATTTATACGTGCATTTTGCGCTGTTGCAGAGGCTTAGATGAAGACTAAAATAAGAAATGAGAATCTTCTTCGCAGAAATTTTTCCACACAGGAAACCAGCTTAGCTTAGTTGAATTCAGCACTATGGCACTTATGCTTGATCTAGATTAATTGTATGAAGGCGAAGGGCAGGCCCTATTGATCGTTGGTTTCTCAAGCAGGACTTTTAATAAACATTTGCTATTCTTCCCCAGGTCAGGTCAGACTTAGTGCTGCTACCATAAAGATAGTAGATGGTACTACCTGCAGCTGTTTCTACTGCCTTGTAGGTACACATGGAAGTATGAAAGGCTACGGGGGTAAACTCTTTTTAAAATCCGGAGGAAAGGCCCCTAAGGCAGTCGACAGGGAGGGATAATCCAAACTATCCTCTGTTATCCCCTGCAACTTAACTGGTTCCAAATGTATTGACCTCGTCGAGAGGGGGTTCATGCAAATTGGGCAAGGCGCGTTCTCCGTACAGTCAGGCCCACAGCTAAGTCAAGATCTCAATATTTCTGGGAGGACGCTGTAAAAGAGCGAATACGGCGGATCAGACCCACAACTTAACCACAGCTACAGCAGCATTTATATGACTATGGAGAGGACACTTCATCCTTGCTGGGGAAAAAAACATGGGAGGTGGCAGCTTTCGGATTATAAGACGTCCTTATTTGGCGAAACAGAATGTCGCCACAGGTCACCTTTGACAATGGGAGTGACAATTCAGTCGCACTGATCAACTACAGCCCGTTTTGTCTCAAACTGAACAGCCCCCTATCAGTAAGGTGCTGATCCATCATGGTTGTTTGCTTCTGTGGGTGTATGGAGCAAGGACAAAAACCAAAAAGTAGGCGTTAAACCCAGCACCAGGCAAAAAAAAGAGTAAAACTATCCCCAGGAAAACTGAGGAGCTGGAATGTTAGAAAAATGATAACTGGGTTGAATACTACCAACCTGGAGAAAACAGAGGACATCAGAAAGACAGCAATCATAGAGAGAGAGCTCATACGACTCAATGTAGACTTCACTGCCCTGCAAGAGACAAGACTTGCTAACTCTGGTACCATCAGGGGAAAAAAGCTACACATTCTTCTGGAAGATACAGAGGTATCTCACTGCTAAGCATCACTGGAGAAGCTTGTGCTAGATCATCCTGAAGCGACTTCAGAAACTAGCAGAAAGAGTCCTACCAGGGAGCCAGTGCGGTTTTAGATCAAACCGCTGAACAATGGACATGATCTTTTCTATTTGTCAGCTACAAGACAAAGGCTTTCGATACAGTCAGTAGATAAGGAATGTACATGGTGCTTGAAAAAAATTGGCTGTCCCCCAATACTGCTACAGCTCATCATTTCATCTATGAAAATATGAAGGCCACCTTTCAGTTTGACGGTTCAACATCAAACAGCTTCAATATGAATATCGGAGCAAAGCAAGGTTATGTATTAGCAACACCCCTTTGTAGCTCTTATTTTGCCGTCTTACTGCAATACGCATTCAAAAAGTCACCAGGAGATGTCTTCCTCCACTTGAGAACGGATGGGTCTCTTTTCAATCTTGCTCGACTCTGGGCCAAGATCAAGATCAACAAAGCAACAATAAGAGACCTGTGAATCAACCCGACAAACAACAATGGACCGCCTATCAACAGCATACAAGATCTTCACCTTGTTCATCAGTGTTAAGAAAACAGTCATGTTAACTCAAGAAGGTGCAGAGCAGAGCCATATTTGACTGAACGACAAGGAACTTGAGACAGAGGACAAGTTCTGTTACCTGTGGTCTACCATTAGCTCTACTACGTCACTTGATGATGAGATCAACATCAGGATAGGGAAAGCAGCAGCATGCTTTCGAAAGGCTGACAAAATGAGCATGGGAAAACAAAAGATTAACTATCAAAACAAAGATCAAGATGTAGGAAGCATGTGTCCTCACCACATTCCTTTATGGATCTGAAACATGGACCTTGTACAGCAGGCAAGAAATGTTCCTCGACATTTTCCATTTCAGATGCTGCAGCAAGATCATAGGCATTTTGTGGTGTGACAAGGTTACCAATGTTGAAGTACTGGCCCTGGCAAACCTCCAGAGCAAGACAACTATCCTGTGTTAAAGAAGATTGAGATGGCTGGGCCATGTCAAGAGAATGGACGACAGCCGGATTCCACAGGGTGAACTTGCTCAGGGAAAAAGACAAAGAGGAAGGCCAAAGTTGAGGTACAAAGACTCCTGCAAAAAGAGTTTATCTAAGCTTGGAGTAGATGTCAGCATCTGGGAAGAAATAGCTGAGGACAGGAAACTACGGAGGAAAATGTTAAATGAAAGTACTATAATGCTAGAGAGTAGCCTCAAAAACAACCAAGCTGAGAAGCGCCAACGACGAAAGAAGAACAGCGGAAATATAGAACTTCGATCCACCTCATTAACATACAAGCGCTGAGACAGAATTTGCGCTTCAAACCTAGTAAGAATTAGCCACGAAAGAAGATGCATGAAGACAACCTTGAGACCATCTTAAGCTAAATTGACCGTCTGCCTAGACAAAAAGAGCCATGCATTTACCCCAGAGGCAAAGCTGACTCCTGCTCAAAAAAGGTAATAAGGGAAAGACAGAGAGAGTCGAAACAAGAGCCCAGTGAAGAGACTGCACTACATGCAGTATGAAAAGCAGAACTGTATCAAAGACAAAGAGCAAAGGGAACGGAAACCTACCGTTTGTATGATCTCAAGAGACCATAGGGCAGCATGTATGGAATGGAGAAAAACGAAGAAAGACACAAATCTGAAGAAAAAATCAAACAGCGCCGATGACAAAACACTGGATGCCCTATCGTCAAGCGTGTTATTTTCTAGAATTGAATGCAAGCAATGACAACAATGCAGAGAAAAAGAAAATTAAAGTTGAAAAAGAAAACCTTATCTAAGAGCAAGAAGGCAGTGAAAAGAACATTGAAATTTTCTTTCGCTTTCTTGGATGAATTGAAAGAGCGATGCATGAAAAAGAAAAACAAAAGCATTCGAATGTAAGCTTCTAAAGAAATATTAAGAAAGTACAAATTCCAGAACAAATTTTAATGTTGTAAAACTCTCAAAATAGAGAACAAATGGAAACTGAAGAAAAACGTGTTTTCAACTCTGCAGATGGATAAAGTACACATTTAGGTGTTTTTTTCCCTTCGGCCTGACACCTCGATATTTTTTTAACGATTTGTAAAATATTGTTACCTTGACGGATTGTTCATGTGAAGATTATATCTATCCCTGCTCAATGTTGGCCAAAACGTACATGCACGGATCGTGTGATCCTTGAAACCCAGTCCCACTAAACAACACCTTCGACAGGACACAACTTAAACAGATTGAGAAATTTAGATAGATTGGGAGCATGCTTATACATGACGGAAGATTGGACACAGGAAAATTGAATTCAGAACCCAACAAGCAAACGCAGAAACCTATAAATTGTCACCACAACTCACTCATAAAACTCACTCGTAAAAAAGACATATTCACAGAATATTCCTTCTAACACTGACTTACGATATAAAACAGGAAGACGAAAGGCTAGTTAGGAGTTAAAACTGTCCGAAATTTGACAGAGAATAAACCAGTTATGGAAATAGGAACATCAAAGAATGAAGTGGTTCGGTCATCTGATGACCGTGTCACCAAATCAGCCAGCTTCACGAGCAGGATACAAAGGCAGGCGTAGATCTAGACCACTCAAAACTTTACTGTAAAGCGTTATAGAGGTCCTCCAAAAGAATAACATAGCAACAACAGAAACCACCTACCCAGTCCGTGACTGAAAATTGCACCTCCCTTTGACATTTAAAGAAACAATAGAAAGGATGAGGTAAAGTAAAAGGATCCAATCCTAGCATACTCTGAGGACATGAGATTCACTGCATGCAACGAGGCAGAAATTAGTAGAAATGAAAAGAAAATAGAAATCCTGAACGGCGAACAGAAGCAAATTAGTATCACTAAGAAGAGAACAGAAACTGGGAGACTGGTGACATTGTGGACGTTATTCCAGAAAGCGTCTCGACAGTACAAGTTACACGATTCTAATATTGACCATAAGTTTGGCACTTTGGAAGGACGTGGAGCTACCTTCAAGCCAATGAAGCAAGAGTACATGCTGACGTCGCTCAATCGTGTTTCAGTAAAATTCTTATTTCGTGTCCAAACCCTCCTATTTGATGTAGTATCTCGATATATTTCGTTTCGACGTCCACTTATTCTTGGATGCTTTCGTTTTTTTAACACTGGTAACAACACCCTGTAAATAACGTATCGACAGAATATGTTACATGCCTTTAACCTTCCCATCCATTCTTCGGATATTCCTTTAGATGATATCACTAATAAATATATGTACACAAGTGTTTCATCCTTGATGAGATTTGCTGTTTAAACCTGATCTGTCACTCCCTTTTTCTCCCGTTACCCGCTTTCCCACCTGTTACGTCTCTCTTTACGTTCATTTTTTAAAAAGATTTAAGTAGGTATAGGACTAACTTCATCTTAATGCTGAAAGGAATAAAAATTCATATGATCACAATGTGTTTGATCATAGAGTGAGAATCACAAACTGAGATTCTAAAATTGTCATTGATTTTCGAATTTGGCTCTTTAATCCGGAAAAATGTTCTGTGGATTGTAAAACTGAAGTATTTTTCAAAATTATTTGCCTTATGAATGGACCTAGTTTAACCATCATGATATTGCTTTGCACCCCCACCCCCCTCCGAACCTATTCCAGTAACGCAGCTCTATTATTTCTGTTGGTAACAGGAGAGAACATTTTCCTAGGAAGCTGACACAAAAGCTGCCATTACGCTCTAATCTGACAAAATTAAGCTCAGAAATTTCACATTTATGTCTCAAGATGGTTGATTCAAGAGACGTACTCAAAGACACACTCAAACATGAAGTGGAGAGAGAGGGAGTGGCTCAGAGAGAGAGAGAGGAAGAGAGAGAGAGA